AAAGGCGCATTGTTATTATTACTATTATTGTAGTTGTTGCTCGTATGCATGCATAATGCAATAATTCAATAAGGCAACATAAATTAGAGACACCTTCAAAGGGGAAAATCTCAACAGCTGTGAGCCCTATGCAGTTCATTAGGGTAGCAACCCTGCTTGCCACATATGTAGTTAGCTATAACCGTATAGAGCTGAATCGTGTACTCACCGGTATGGCCTGGCAGACGTCGCTCTCCCACTGCTGCTGCGCCAGTTGCTCCTCGTTGCAGTCCTGCGGCACCACAGTGTACTCGGCCAGCGCCGGCGGCCGCGGCGGCGGCGGTATCAGGAACTGTGGCGGGGGGGCTAGCGGCATGCCGGCGCATTCGTCGCAATCGAACATGAAGAGCTCGGCATCCATCATGGTGTCCAACATTTTCCACATTTGTTGCTACTCCTCACTTTTGAAATATGTTTGCTTTTTGGTTGTTGATTTTGGTGTGTATGTATTGTGTGTGTGTGTGTGATAGTGTTTTTGTGTATGTGTGTGTAGTTGAGATCTTGGGCTGCGTGTCAAATGCGCTTCCTGATCGCTGTCATCGCTGGACAGCCCTCAACGGCGGCGGCGCTGCAAGGAAAGAGAGAGAGAGGGAGAGAGAGAGATGAAGGAAATGTAGTCAAAGCTGGTGAATAGCTGGCCAGGAYATCAGCTGGCCACAGCTGTCGCCGCATTGTCTATCACAATTATCTGGCCAATGTAGGGCTTGGCACGTCGCGACGCGTCGCTTATGGCCTGGCCTGGTCTGATCCTGGACACACTTCCATTGGCACATGCAAAAAGTCCAAATATGCACACATACATACATATATATAGACTGTGAGGATACTCTCGTGTCGTTCCATTCACACCCCTAAACGAATGCAACGCTCCTAATGTGTCCTCTATGCGGAACCCACCCCGAGTCTCTCTAGCCACGGGGCTGTTAATTTTTATTGATTTTGTTTAATGCGTTTCTATTTTTTACTTATTTATTTTTATTTGCTTTGGCTTTATGCTGTCAATTTTGCTGCTGCTGYTSTTGTTGTTKTTGTTGTTGTGCGTGTGTCCTGTTTTTAGCCCGTTCCATTTTTATTGCCCTACAGTTGGCTATATATACATTTTCCTTTTCTGTTTTTCTTTTTTAATCCTCTAGCTAAATCTGTCGACTCATTGGCAATTGTTTTAACCCCTCTTCTCGTACCTCTTCTTTTTTTGATTATTATTATCCTTTTTCCTGCGGTTCTGTTGTTATTCTTCACACATATGCTGACAAAATAATTGAGAAATTGCGTACAGTTTGATGAGTGCATTCACAGCTCAAGCAGAGATCGAATTTCATCGATTGTTTTCACTGCCAGTAATCGATAATTKAGAGATAAGTTGAAGTATAGATTYGATAACAGATTTACTGTTAGTTTCTAATAAATTAAGATGATAGTTAGATGGGATACTACTTATTATGCTCATATATTTATTATGCCGATATATTTCATATTATGTTTACAGCTAATTAGCAGTTTTCGATTTATCGATAAATTTATCGTTAATGCAATCGATAACTTATTGCTAAATAACGTTATCATTACCATAAATATTGACTATTTCAATTCCTTGCTCTACTCTAAGCCACTTGCTACTAGTCTTATCGATTGTCTGGCTACTATCGATAGCTACCAGCGGCTGGATGCCGTTAAACTTGACAGTCGCATTCAAAATTGGTTCCATCAATGCAAAAATGCCAAAAGCCAAATCTCGCCTTGCCACAGTCCATGTGGATTACGTTGCGGCTTAAGCTCTCGACTGTCTGCCAGCTACTTGACAGCCGGGAAAACTCAAGAGCTCAAGAGTCCATGTGGCTGCTGCGGCTGCTGCGTGGGGTAAGGCCAAGGCACATAGACACAGCCAGAGCGGCAGCGGGGCGGAGGATGCAAGCGAAGGCAACATATGTTGCCAGTTGGGCCATTTAATTAGCTGCACAGTGAGCTGACAGTTGTCAGAGAGTGCGGCGCTGGCTGAAGAGCAAGAGAGAGAGAGAGAGAGAGAGAGAGAGCAGCCGAGAGAGAGCGAGCGAGCGAGAAGGTAGGCAGCCAGGCAGGCAGGAAGGCAGGCCAAGCCAACTGATAAGATCTCAAGAGAGAGAGAAAAAAACTACAATTGTTGCTGTTGCTGTTGTTGTTGCTGTTGTCTTGCAATCAAATGTAAGCCGCTGTTGACATTGGAGATTAAAAGATATTAAAAACGAAGACGACGAAGCGAATCTGACACACAATGTTGCACTGGACAAAAGAAGAAGAAGAAGAAGAAGATTCCAACTTGAACTCGAAATAATACAATGACAGACGGTTAGACAGACAGACCCAAACCCGACAAACTGACAAGAGAGAGAGAGAGCGGGAGAGCAAGAGA